CCAGTCTGATTTCATTAAGACGGTAAACCCAATAAGGCTAAAAGTCAATTTACTTGATTCAAAAGTGTGTTAAATATCCTAGGTGAATTAGATCGACTTCATGACAGTTGGTCGAAAATTCGTTAGGAAATAAATGAAAGAAAATAGAAAAAAAGGGAATTCCGCTGGGGCTCATTCGTGAGAATTGGAGATCGGATGGCATTTCCGTACACATTTATCGCGCGTATTTATTATTCACAAAATACTGCCATTGGAACCACTGATGCTAATTTGCAAGGGAGACAACAAGCATAATTTATGTCACCAGGGCATACCGGCGTTTTCCCCTGTTTTTATGCTATGCCTATGTTATGTTCATGTTTTCCTTCCATATAGAAATGTTCTACTCTATTACAACTAGCGCTAACGTGTGCGGTAAAAGAAATGCACTGAAGTTCATATGCACCTCATTTTCAAAACAAAATGCTTAGGAATAAAAATATTTTAACAATAAGTAGTTAAAACAATTGGAAAGGGCAGCGTTGCATGTAGAACACGGCCTATCGAAGTGGTTACAGCTCCTTTGGGCCTTAATAATCGCCCCCTGTATATGGGGTCCCATGTAACTTGAAAACTAGCCAAACATTGTCCACGCAAGTTGTGGTTTTTATTATGAGATTTACATTTCTCCCATACAAAATACTCAGACAGATTTAATGAAGCTGGAAATTTCATTTGCCATTTGAAGAACATTTGGACAATATTTTCGCATTCAGTGCTATTTCGCTGGATTCTAGTCTCGACTTACATCACTAGTAAGAGGTTTTGCGTATAGGAAATCCGATTGCATTCGTACAGACGGCAGGTCGCTGAATTAGGCGGAATTTTTTCCATTCACAGAAATGACAGAATATACATACAAACCTGTAGCATTCAGTCGACAAAGGGCCTAAATGCTTGACCTTTGACTTTTGATGACCCTTGCATTGTCGGCTTACCTCTGCCATACTTGGAAAAAAATTCATTGGCTAAGATGATGTGATATTCGAAAAATCGATAGACTTTTTCACTAATAAATTTACAATTATGCACGCATGTGCACAAATGGACTTGGCGGTAAGAAGTGTGAGCGGGCCCTGAGAATGTACAGTGGTGCAATTTTGATCATTTTCTCTCAGGTTTTCTATCCTTGTTCATTTTTTCTTCAGAAAATCCCATTAAATCGTTTTTGCTTTAATTTTCTAATCTATAAGCGGGGTATAGTCTTAATTTTTCCTATGGGTACGAGATTTCCGTATTTAGGCCGCTCTCCTTGCCGTGCTGTTTTATAGCCAAAACGATTTAATGGGATTTTCTGAAGAAAAAAATATGAACAAAACTAGGAACCTGAGAGAAAATTATGTCTGTATGTCTTATCTATGCAACATGCATGAGTGTATAATCCAAAACAGCCTATAAGATTGTACTTCCAACCTAGTATACTCCAAGAAAATTATGATCCATTTGCTTTTTGCCCCGTTATACTACAGCGTCATTTTGGACATTTAACATAGTTTATATCTACTATCTGATATCAAATATATTGATCAAGACGTACGCCGTATGACAACAGAGCCTCTTCTTTAAAAGAATGTCTTAACCCTTTAATATAGTCCCCAATCTTCCAATAAGTGAAGGATTGAGGACAGTTAAAGTTTGCGAAGACGGCTATTAAAATTTGCAGTCGTTTCATGACGGATCGGATTCGATATTCCTACCGGTGTTCCAGCTACTTTAGAGCATTTTCTGACATCAAACGTTTTCGTGGCATTTTGGGTGTACGAGAGAAATAACTGCACTCAATCTTCATGTAATAGGACACGGTTGGGAAAGGAATTCGCAGGCTTTTAGAGATAGTGTCGCTGAATTGATTGAAGTGCAGCCCATGGACAAGAACAAAGTTGAGAGGCAATTAAGTCATACTTTTAGAGGTGCTGAACAATATCAACAGTGACGAATGCCTTGCCGGCACTTTCGATCCTGTGTTACAGGACAAGTATGACCAAAACGGAAAGAGATACATCGCCTCGCTAAAAAAGTGACAACTTTGGCTGATGATGCGTGGTAATGTACCTGCGAGGAAGATGTTGCTTTCATCACGGGACAATGACATCGCGGATACACAGCGCCCTCCGGCCACACCACACAGTCGATATTTGGAATAATTTCGGGGCTTTGTGCGGGTACTGGATTGAGTTATCGGGTGAATGGCCGCCAAGTCATGCTTCAATGTACATCGTACATCAATAGGAAACGGAATGGTTTTCAACCTCATAAACGCTATTTGTACGTTAAAGTTTATGCGTTTTAAAAATGCGCTGAAATTGCTGAAATTGTGAAAGCTTGACGGGTTGTTTAATACTAAAAGATCAATACAATAAAAGAAAATTTGATCTGAGTATTTCGGCAATTTTATAAGACGACAGTGGAGGTGTCCTTTTGGATTTAACGTAACGAAAAATACTATTAATGTCAAGAAATGTCACAGTGTAAAAGCGTACAGATTTGCCGACGGTTGTCATCGATTTTATTATGACATGATCGTGTAATAGCAACCCAGTCTTCTCTGTCCTGTATATTAAAGTAACGAAGTCATATCTTTCATGGTGTCATTTCTGTTTTCAGCAAAAAGTAAGTGCGTAAACGGACTTGTTTTTTTTTAAACGTGCAATTGCTAACACTGATTTGCTCCAAATGTGAATAAAACTGAACATAGAGTCATGTCTAATCGCTACAAGCAATCGATAACTGCAGATGTGACGTCCAGCATTTCCGAAAAAGGAAGGTCATCAAAAAATGGATGCAACATACAAACAACGAACAAGCTTAAGGCATATTTTTTTCATTACTAGGAAAAATTTTATTTTGGTGTTTTTGTAAAGTTAATAATGTCTAGTTGAAAGCAAAAGAAGTGGGAAAAAGATCCTATACTACCTGTGAAACTAGAATACTATTCATGACACCTGTCCACTTTATTGAAGCATTCTATATTAATTTATGCGCCCGGGATGTCCAAACAACGGTATCACTTTTCCACCTGTCGTGCTGATCACATGACACCTGTATTCCATCGTCGGTCGATAACCTCTGCAATTAGTGCTCCAATACGCTTTGACATTATGACAGGTGTTCTCTATTCAATTATTGAAACATCATTCTTTCTTCGCAATTTTTCAAGGCTCATTGTAGAGTTAACTGTAAGTTATCATTTCCTAGTCAAGCTTATCTTGTCAGACTCTGCAGTTATTTAAAGGATCAAGATTTATACGAAAGTTGACCGGTTCAGCAACGATGCGATGAAATGATCAATGAACTATCCTGAGTGCGAGCCGGTTTGCCTCATCTGAATGTACAATGTTGTCCAATTTTCACAAGTGAACACGTATTCAGTTATTAAGGCATATCTTCGGGGTGATATGCGTCGTATTTATAACATCTTGCAAAGCAGTAATGACATAAACGCAAGCTGTGCGACACTTAGCTCGGTGCTGTTTAATAGGGCTGTTATCTAGTATCCCTTTAGGGACATTAAACTCTTCCCTTCTTTATGCTTGATGGGAGGATATTTATTCTCAACCGCGGTGATTCAGAGAACCACACATAGTGTGAGACCAAAGGAGACAGAAGTACCCTCGGCAAACTGTAAATCTCACAGCGAAGTGCTTATATACCTTTGTAAAGGCCTATCTCTGTTTCAGCTTAATATGCCACAGAGAATTAATGGGACGCTGTATGGATTTGTTTGGCTAGGGAAGCCCGGATGCCTAGACGACCCACTATTATAGCATTAAACTGACTATGTGGTAAGTGTACTTGGCTTACAGTCTTAGATGGTATGTGCTCGTTATTTGTAACAAATTTCAAATATTCATAACATTATAAGCAAACTATTTTATTACTTAACGCTGCACATATTTCCTCAGTCTTGGTAGTTGACAAACAAGTTAACGCGGCTGCGCCTTGGGAAAGAGTGTGCTAACTTCCAATACATTTAGGAGCTACTATTGCACACCCACCTTTAAACCATTATCCATTGGTATAAATAAAGACCAAATTCCATCAGGAACAAAACTTAGAAGCTGCTCCTATACAGTGGCACCATGCACGGGTGCCAGTCAAGTCCTGCCTCTTTAACCAACGAGAACCATCAGGGGTGTTGCGACTTGATAAAATGCACGCACGCTCATTGAGGACCGCGTGCGGTGCCGCGACGCCATGCGGGAGTTCTGTGCCACCGTCGGTATCGGTGTCTCCTCGCAGTATCCATGCAATACACCGACACTCAACTGAAGCTTATTTTTCACCTCGACGACAACTCTCTTTTTCCAAAATCTTCACAACGTTATCAGAATGCGATCACAATAAGACGCCTTAGTTTACGCTGATCTTTCTATCTCGCACAACGGGTTATGCAGTCATGCACTACGCTGCACCGAACCGACGCCATTTCTGCCACAGGCGTCAACTGAATCGCACCGACTCCATACTCACTCAGTGAAGTCCCATGAAACTAATGCAATTCGTCAGCTTCATGCAGATATCTGTAAGCTTTAAATTAGCATTATGCAGCTTTAGTTAGGACGTGCGTACAGAGAGGGGAAAAAAGAACACGACGGAGGGTATGGCAAGGATTGATCTGCTCGGCACACGGTTATTATTTTGAGTGCACCAAAATCCACGCGAACCGAAACAATCGGAAGTAGAGTGTCTATCCCGTTTGAAGCACCGCCAGTCAGTCCAGCCCTGTTAGTTATCTCCTAGGAACGTATTATCATTTACTCTGATTCAAACTACAAGAAGCAAAGGTGCATCGTTAACCCGTGTCCGGGGTGAGCATCTTTAGGGGTTAAACAGAAGCAAAACTGCGTATGAATCACCCTCGGCAGTGACATTTGGAAACACTCACTGCAAAGTGCACGTGTGCACATGGTGGCCACAACAATCGCTCCCAGCACTGGCAACACAATCAAATCAAATCCTACCTGTAACTTTTCACAGATGTTGACAGGCAGGTGGTCCAGTCCGCAAGCTTGGAGACATCTGTAGGACCTGGGCATGGGCACGGCCTGGGATGTGCATAAAAAATAAGTTGAAAAAACATAAAAGAAATAAGACTTTAATAAGCCTTCCATCGAAACAAAGACCATACCTTTGGAGCGGAGAGAGAGAGAGAGAGAGAGGGAGAGGAATGGATGAATTTGATACTAAACACACTGCCCGCGGCGTCTGTGTGATTAGATCTTGCTCGAGTAAGGTATCAACGAAAGTAATAGCTTAGAGATGATAATGGAAACGAGATGGGATGACAACCAGCCAGCAGTATAGCTGTCAGCTCTCTAGATGCTCAACCCCCAAATACATAAGTAACAAAAAAATCCATGATTATGCCCGAAATAACAACTGCAGTGCCAGATCAAACATAAAACTGTGTGCATTTTGCAGTTTCAAGACGGCTGCTTGTACGGACTTTAGAATAGTTTACGTGTTTCCTTATCCATTTACCCTTCCATGATGATTTTTGTCGATCCCACCGACATGTATGTATTCGGAGTGTTAGTTACTTCTAGTGTGTGACATAATTACAAGCTTTACTGCCCAAGAAAGCAATCAATAAGCAGGGGCATACCGGCATGATAGATACCTACACTTAGACTGGAATTACAATTTATTTGTCTGGTGTTAAGAATGAACATAAAGAATCTACAGCCCGCGAAATTTATTGGCGTAGGGAGCATTTTCTCCAGTGAATATTTAGATAGCGCGCTCATTAATCGTACCATGGGAGAAAAATTCGCTCTTTGGACTGCTGTGTTTGCTGTTCACGAAGTGTGCGATTTTCAGCTCGTCGTCTCCCCCCCCCCCTTTCAACTGTCCAGCACACAAGCCCCAAAGAATTGGGTATATAGGTCACTCACATGTGCAGCAACAAACGCCCCTAGGACCAAACAGCATCGAAGACGACACCTTTACCAACCAGAACATAATGGAAACGACATGGTTCATTTCCAGCCCGTATTATCTCGCGCGTGCGGAGGACTGCTATGGCGGATCAGCAACTTAAACCGAGCATGAAGGCGGAGGGGAGAAAGAGGAGGGAGCAAATTTGTTGAAGAGTGCTGATGCAGACATCCCTGCCCGAAAGCGACTCTGGCTTCATCCTAGCTGTACATAGCCTGGCCGTTATCCCGGCTCGGGGCAGCCTCGTGCATATACGGTGAGCCGAGCAATGAAAACAGGCTTAGACCCAGCATGCCTGTGTAATCCCGGTATTAGTGAAAAACAGTTTGATTTCAAAACAAACGCGATGGAGTAAGATATTGATTCTGAGGTGATCTCTCACCAGTGGCTGCTAATAATATATATTGAACACCTTCTGCCCAATATTGAAATTATGTCATCATCGCGGACATCTTGAGGAAGCGGACAAATACACAGAAATCAAAGTCTGAGGCACCTTCAGAATCTTTCCACCTACATTCCACTCCGCTGCGGCCGCCACGGTGTCTTAACACTTAACAAATAGCTTTGGGTTTGCAATGTGGTAGTATGAAAACTGGGTAATCGACAATCGGTATGACTGCTATCTACAGAAGGCAGCGATACTTAGTTAGCATCTCAGAAGCAAACAAAAAAATCTTAATTTAAATTAAGATTTTGTTGAAAAAGAAAAACATTCACTTTTATTGAAAAGGGGTGAACTCTTTATCGCCTCTTTCTAACTTTTGCTTTCGCATTTTCAGTGGTCGTTGCTTGCGTCAGTTTAATTATGGGCTTTGGCGTAGGCCTAGACATTCACAACCTGCTTAAATTTGTTTACGGATTTACCGTCACTTATTTGCTTATTACATTAATACGCTTACAGGGTAGTGAAAGCTAGATCAGGTGTCATGTTTCTCTTATGGACAGTTTTCCAACGAGTGATTAGAGTCATCTCTCCATCATAAAAATAACTTTGACCCCCTTACGCCAACTGTTAACATTTTAGAGTATAATACACACGACCTGGTTTTCAAATGGCATCAATTATAACTCAAAACGTTGAAGTTGTCCTGCAGCGAAGACCACCTAAATGTCACCCGAATCATAAACAAGGAGCGCACACCGCAGAAAGTTTCATTTTGTTTCTGTCGGCATGGCCCCTTTGGGACCGGGTAAGGAAATTATGCAAAATGCTAATTATACGTGCCGCCCGCCCGACCAGTCTATAGGGAGATCATTAAATGGGCTGAGAGCGCCGACGAAGCCGCGAGGACTGAGGTACAAATACGTGCTGGACTGTGTGGGGCGCAGATTTAACGCTGCTGTGCTTAACGCCTTGTTGAAAAAAAGCTGGGCTGAAAACAGCGCAAAATTGGGACAAGATATTTAGGGCTCCAAAGCTCTGCCGATCGGCCCATCTGCCTAACCACTACGGCTTCAAGGGCTGGTTAGCGAGTTCAATCTGTGATGTGCCTGCGCGCTTCATTCTTTGAAGGGTGGGAAAAAATCGAATCACTGATTTTTTTTCCCTTTGTATAAAGTCATACTTCAAACGTGCTCAGTATGGATGCACTGAACTGTGTACATGTTTATGATGTATAAACTATGCGATAAAACTACAGTCGTTTCCCAGATATACCCTGTGCCGACCCAATATGAAGTTCTTTCAGGTAAGTCCCGCCATCTTATCAAGATTAATAGAAATAATTTAATAAGCGGCAACAGCCTCAGCAGTCCTACTTTAATGTACCGCTAATAATACAGAGAAACGTGACTGTCCGGCGGAAATTCACAAATTTGTCTCCGTGATGACAGCGCTGCAGTTAGGTGCGATTTCGATCGTGAGAACAGACTTTTCATTTTAATCCACTCGCCGGACGGAGAATCGAAACGACATCTTCACTTGCCTTGTAATTACAACACTCTGTGCTCGATTCTCGCATCGTCATTACCCGTGTGGAAACAAAACAGCCCACTCCAGTGTTTGTTTTCATGGGCAATGCTAATAGCGTTCATGATTGCTTTTTGCTTGCTTTGAAAGAGGATGAAAACTACTTGAGCCCGAACAAACACTTCACTGATCGAATTCTTGATGTTTCCTTAATTTCAGTACCATTAACTGAACAGGTGAAATCACATGGGAAAAGCTTTGTGTTCTTCAAGGAACGCCCATTTAATACATACGGTGGATTTACAGTTTGAATTTTCATCTCAAATTCCTCTGGGAAGCAAAATAGCATAAACATATATTTTCAAAGCAGAAAAAAGGTAAACCGTTCGTTGAATTTGTCACAGTAGTATTTTATGAATCTGTTTCATTTCCTAACAGTAATTTTGGAGATGAAAAAAAATCAGGCAACAAACGTCACTACTCCAGGTTGCACTATGGTAGGAAATAATTCAAAACGTCAGAAACGATGATTGGCAACAACTCTACATTTCCAGAAAACAAACTTCAGAATGACTTACCTCCGGAAGCAAATTTAAATTAAAAGTGAAGCGGAAGTATACAACCACTTGTGGAGCTCTCATGATAAAAAAACGCCCTCATCGTAGTTGTTTCTCCGCCGATGTAGATCCTTCCCAGAAAAAAAATGTATATTCTCTTTCCTTTTGGGAGGAGGGTCATGGGTCAGGACAAGTCCTCGTGGTGTCTCTGACAGAAGACACACATAAAGTTCACTTTGCTGTCAATTTTTGATACGAGCACAGAACCTGCCCTCACGGTATACCGAAGCCTCCCACAAACACGCCACACGGGCGTTGTGTGGATAGCTGTGCGAAAAACCTGTTTTCCTACCTCGTCCTTGCTTTTCTTTGAATCGTTGGGCTGTCTTAGAAGCTTTGACTTTCCTCTTGATTCCTACAAAGAAAAGCCCCTCTGCCCCTCGCTGTTAAATGTCACGGCCAAAGAAACATAGGGAAACGCAATCCCCCCACTGGGAAAAAAACCACCGATGGCGGCGCTATACATCAATATTGATAATAAAGCACGGGGGAGGCCACTCCTCGCAATCATAATGACTGGGTTCGGAACGTGGGCGTGATGAGAAGGTCAACAACTCGGTGCCTGTCTGACCATGTCTGTTCTAGGGGTGTACAGACTTGACACGAAGACTCGGGCTGTTCGTATAGAGCCAGACATTTATCCCCAGTGAGAAATGTTTCAACGTTTTCAATTTCGACAAGGTGAATATGAAGTCCATTATTTTGTGGGCATATCTGATTATATGCTCACTTTAAAGTCAGTTATCCGCATGTACGTTTTAAAATGTTCAGTTTTTGCGTGTGGCGTTTTCCTGCAGAATTTGAGCCGACGTTTAAAAGATATACGACCTCAATTAAGTCCAACCAGATCCCAGCCAGTTTTCCGCGTCTGAGATCCGATACCTGTAATTCGAGAAATACGCATGCAACTGTATGACGACACTGTTGATAAGATGCAATAACCGACAGTAAACCATTGTCCTGGGTACGATGAGGTAGAGCACACGGCTATTGCCCAAAGCAAGGAACGGGAGCGAGGAAGCCGGTATAAGCCACATGACCCAGTTTTATCGAATGGTGTTTCACCCCCTCTGGCGTGCTAATAATTATATAAAATGTTGAAAACAACTCACGACATGTGTCCCTTTCCCAACGTCGGTCTTCTTCCCCTTTTGAAATGCAAGCGCTGATGCAATTATGTGGATCACATTTGGCGTTTTGGAGGAAAGTCGGCCCGTGGGCAAGAAATGCGAGGGAGTTTTAACACCAAACCAAGACCCGACAAACTGGAAAAAGGGATACATATTCAGATAGTATGGAAATCTAACCAACTTGGTGTTTTGCACGCTAATGGAGTGGCAGGGATGCCTTATATTAGAATCCGCCCTGCATGTGCTACACAGACTGGTTGAAATCGGTATATCCTTGCTGAAGCCATTGAACTTTCCTCGCCCATTGCCGATTGTTAGAGATGTGCATTGAGAATAGAGATGCGACGAAGCGCCCGGGCCTCCCGGGAATTTGATACTCAGAAAATAGAGAGCTTGGCGTAGGGCAGATAATTGCTGCCCACTGCATCAGCAGGATCAAGCAAACTCGTTATGCATGGGTTGGGCTGATCACATTCAGGGACGAAGTGTATATATTTGAGGATGCTGTACTTTGTGCATCTAGCCTGTAATTGTTTACCGCAGACGGTGACTCTATTAGCCTGGAGGGGATCCATGTTGCCAGTTGAGATCCAGTTTTGAGTGGGTTATTAATGCAAATCTAATATACTTTACTGTGTTATGGGCCCATTCGGTGTTTGTCTTTGTGACTTCATGTTCCAGCTTCTCATAAGATTAAAACTGTAGTCCAGGTCCTGGGTGTGAAGGATTTAATGCGCATCACCACTGAGGGAGCCGAACATTTTCAGTTTACCTCCACAAGCTGTTATCGTTCTGGACACCATCAAGCTTGGAGCGAAGAGTCCTGTGCGCAGCTGGAGTTTTTTACGTCACTGAGCGCATCGAATAAGGTTAATTCTTTCCGTGTATCATGACCAGGCCCAAGTCGTGGGCAACGGGTCAGGTACCCTGGTTCACACTGATTAAATCTACAGGAGTCCAGAAACAAAGACGGAAGCCGTAGTCGCTCTCAAAGACATTAACCCGATTTTCGCTGTCTTCTGTTGCATTTTCATTATTGTATAGCTAGTCAATCTATTGGACGCGCAGGAAAGGCAAGTGAGATGCAGTGACACTTTATTATGTACATTACGATGTTTAAGGTTTGATCAAAATTTGTCTTATTCGATGCTTTCCTTTCCCGAACTTGGCTTTACTTCTGTATAATTACAAGACAACAATAGGAATAAATTCTGATTTCTGTTTGGTTTTTGATCGTTCTGCCTGAACTGATCAAAATGCATTTCAGCTGACAAGAAGAAAGTGTTTATCCTGAAAGCACCTTGTGTATCTACACTCTTAAAAAAGTTGGATAGAATAAGCCCTACCTCTATCTATCCCAATATTGAGTAACAAACCAACTGCCTACACAGATCGGCTTTTACTACCCAACATGGTTGGTATTTAGAATTTTCCTGCGGTTGGGCAAAAGTGCCCAATATTTAGCCATAATAATTAACCAATGGTTGGTCTTTTAAAAGCTTTGAAATAAAACTTATTTTTACTTGGTGTGACATGTGAGATTCTCCGAGGGAGGGGTCCGGAGGAATCGTGTTTCCAAGTAGTGACAAAAGCCGACTGCAGGTCAGTTCTTTGGAGTATACTTACACTGAACGCGTGAGTAGCCCCAGTGTACGCAGTCACTGTAATTCTTTATTTTTAAGGTGACCTTACTTGATATCTTAGGTAGTTCACCACTCGTGTGTAATTACAGTGGATACATGAACCTTGCCCGGGTTTTTTTTTCATTTAGGCTATCTTTGTAAATCCCAATTTTCTTTGAGATTGACGTTGGTCTGAAACGGAACTTGAATTATCCACGAAAGCACAAACAATTACCAAAACGTAAAAGAGTAACTTTGGATTGAAATTTAGCTAATTTTGTTCGACGAAATGAAGCTCCGCCCAATTGCATTTACCACCAACAATTAACATTCTCATTAACCAATTAAATTGGGGTAAAATTAAACTTACCTAATCATAGGAGATCATTTTCCCAATAAATTATGCTAAATAATTACCCAACATCACAGAAGGACAGTTGGATAAAACGTCTAAACAATTACCCATGTTCTGTAGATTTGACTCAATATCTGGTAAAGGACGTTTTACCCATTTTTACCCAACCTTTTTTGAGTGTACAGTCCTTATGAAAAACCCTCCGCATTAATAACAAACCAAAACAGTTTGGTTGCGTTGGCTATATACTTTTGGTAACAAACATTCCGAAAATTTTGCGTGCAGAAAGTTCGTTGTTCTGATCTCGAACACGAAATGTTGTTTATTTATTACTTTTCTTGGAAAGGGTGAGATTTGAAAATATAATTTAGTTCCCATCTCATGTTTTTAGCGACACAACGTATGGTATACTTTGAGAAAATACACTCATTTCGTCGAGTGTTGTCGACACAATAAAACTCACTTACTTTATAATGCGATAAAACTATTACCTTGTTAAGTGGAGCTTCAACTACATGTGTATTAGCGTACATGTATTATTGCAGATGATATCAATGGCAAGCAGTAGTTAGCGGCAGTGTGGAGTCAGACAGGTTGATGTCGCATGGTTTTACAGGCAAGATCGCAGAGTCTTTTCCTGTCGAATTGTCTAAGACCAGTGCGTTCATATCACAGGGAATCGTAACATTCCTTAAAATATTGGTTCGTGATGTAACATGTCTCTTTATGCACACTCAGACGGGAACAATGTCTGATTCCAACAAAACCCCCCAAAAATCTAAAATCAGTAAATGTTCATTTCAGTAAAATCTTGTAGCTGTATATCCCGTGTGCCGAAAATGTGCCCAATGTCTGGCAGTGAACGGAGTCTACCCTTCACGATAGATCTCTATCAGAATACGGAGCCTAGCTATCACCCCCCCCCCCAGTAATCATCCGATGGGACAAACCACAGGGTGAAACCCCCATACACCCATATAGCACGTAACGCGCAACCCCATATTCCCGGCGGCAGGCGAGAAATCACCAGACGTACCACATACCCTGCAGAAGCTATATGTGGTGCTAAATTTACGCCATTGGTATCCATATAAGGTATACCTAAATTTACACCACAATTCATTTGTGTAAAATTTGTCGGAGTAGATTTTAAACATTTGAGGGGAATGATTTTCTATTAAACCATGAGACTTCAACTATTGCGTCATATCAGAAGTTAGAACTGCGAATGACTCAATAACCGAGGCTGATTTCAGCTACCCTCCCCTGCCTTTCTCTACGAATATGCTGTGCCGATAGCACTCACCAATATCGCTTTCTCCCTACGGATATTTATTACGGGGGAAAAACAACCAAACTTGAGCATCCCTGTTCAGACGGCTCATTTTGCCTAAATTTGATGCTAAAAATGTCACTGACTGCAAACGGCCGCTCCTTTGCTTCTCTGTGTATCTCCATCACCAGCCTTTTAAAGAATCCTAACAACCGATGGAAGACGACAGTCCCAACTTCTGTCATGAATCTCTCTCTGAAAAGTGTCTGGCTTTTTTCATTTCCAATGCGCAAAGAAGGTATACCAACCGAAAACAAATTTGGCGTCGTGTTACTGTAGTAAGAACGCTTCCACTTATTAGATGATGGTTTAGACGATTTTTTTCAATAGATAAGATTGCAGTCAACACATCACGTATTCTCAGTTATAAATGAAAACATAAGATAAAGGCGTCATTCTTACCCAACGTGCCACTGCAGCAGGTGGATACACGCTGCTTTGAGGCAGAATCCTTGCTGATCAACAACCAGTGGTGCCGCTTGCTGGAGACTGCAACATCTGGTATCTGGCTTGCCTTTCGCTCCTAGCCAGACACAGGCCGACCGCCAAATGATTTCGACGACTGATTCATTTCAGCCTGTCTGGGAGAAAACGATTCCTGCAGCAGCCGCCCCGCACTGAACCCCGCCCACGGCTAAACAAAATCCTGGGGAGCCGGGGCGACTGGGAAGGAGGCAGACTGCGCCCGATGAGACCAAATCACGTGATCATGAGAAGCCGGCAGGAAATCATAAAACGTGTTTATCAAAAGCCGTGCTTCCATAAAGTCTTCATGGAAAGCTATCACTACACAGGGAAT